CCCCAAAACCCCAAAACCCCAAAACCCCAAAACCCCAAAACCCCAAAACCCCTTAGGAGAGTATTATATTTGAAGGCCTGAAATACTATTGAGAGCCTCTTATTCACTGGCCGGTTCGGATGCGTTGGCATGACCTCCAAAGAATTGCTTCATTTTGTTGTAAACATCGTTGAAGACGAATCTGTCTCCATTATTCTTCACTGCTTCAACGCAGTAAGTGTCATCTCCAGCATCCAGAATGTTGACCGTCATTGACACCATCTTTTCTTCTTGGAGAATATTCAAAGTGGATGAGTACTCCTCTGGAGAAAATTCGAACTCAGTTGTTACCTTGTCTGCGAATAAAGCAAGGGTATTGAAGAGAGACTCGAGATCAGACTTGGAGAAGAATTGAGTATATCTCTTGAATTCAGGAACATATTCAACGCAATTTCTCTCGAGAGAAGGAAGTTTAGTGGCGTCTTCAAGTTCTCCACCTACACCTCTGTGAACGGTTCTTCTTGTGAACACAGAAGGATCTACTTCTTCAGTTGGGAATGGCTGATCTTCTTGAGCTGAGCTTTCATCAAGAGCAGCTTTTCTCTGGTTAAATTCTTCCTTTACTTCATCATATGAAGGAACTGTAGCAGTATACCAAGCAGATGATCTCACTTCGGCAAGAGATGGTCTGTGAACTGGGTCGAAGCTTAGCATAGAAGAAATGAGTTCTCTAAATTCTGGAGAGAAAAACTCTAAACCTCCTGGCTTATTTCTAGAGTGAAGTTTCCAAAACAAGTCTGGCCTATTAGCACTAATAGTCTTATAGTGAGGATCTTTAGGAGAAGCCTTATTAAAAGGAGGATGTTGAGCAACCATGATGAACAAGATAATTCCTGCAGCAAAAAGATCAACACATTGCCCAGAATACTTCTGTCCTAAGTGAATCTCTGGAGCCATATAGTTATCGGTTCCTTTTCTGGATTCATTCTTAGCTTGATTAGAAGAAAATCCAAAATCAGCAAGCTTGAGATTGAATTCATTATCAAGCATGATATTCTCTGGCTTCATGTCTCTGTGGCTGATACCGTTACCGTGCAAATATTCGAATGCATCACAAAGTTGATGGAAATAAAATCTAGCGACTTCTTCAGAGAATTTTCCAGTTTGAGCAATAAAATCGAACAGCTCACCTCCATTTGCTAATTCAAGTGCGAGATAAAACACATCTTCAGAAGCTCCATTGGCTTGTTTGTATTGTTCAGTATCAGAAAAGTCGATAAGGTTGATAATATTTGGATGGCTAAGGTTCTTCATGATTTCCACCTCATTCTTAACAATATCGTCCATGCCTCCATCATATCCCATATCCTTCTTCATGATTTTAAGTGCACAAAGGTCACCAGAGGTCTTATTTCTTGCAAGTTTTACTCTAGAGGATGGTTAGATGGACCCAATTAATGTCAAGAATTATGTACTTACTCTGAATAAGCTCCACTTCCTAGTGTTCTTAATAAGTTCCACTCTCCGCAGGTTGCCATTTATAAATAATACTTAATAATTTCGGTGAGATTTCTATTAGAGTTATTTATATGGGGTTTTGGGGTTTTGGGGTTTTGGGGTTTTGGGG